TGAGAGGTAAGAGGAGAACCACTGTAAGACAGTGCCTCCCACCCCCACCTCCCGCAGTCGTCGCAGAAGGATACCATGGTTTTCTTTAGTCTCCACGTGAGCAGCCATGTTCTCCATCCGTACTACACACACAGTCACAGCTTCTGTCACATCCCTTCGGTTCTGCATCGATAAAACAGATCTGAAGGCACAGTGAAGGTGGGTTGAATGAGTTTAGAGAGAACTAACCAAGGAACTGCGGCTATAGAAAAGTGCCCAGCTCTTCTTTATTATGGTCTGTATGATTCACACATTCAACTGAATCGCAACTTTCACAAAGTGATCCAGAGGAGCTGCCCTGAATTTCTTTCGGAATGTAGATTCAGTCTCTAGTGCTGGATAAAGCTCTCTGAGTCCTTGGGGCCAATCAGCATAGCTCCCGCGAGGAGTGTCTGGTGTTGTGGATACTTTTGTGCGAGGGATAGGGATCAAAAGAAGCACAACTGTTTGGCCAGCTCATAGCAAAGCTTGTCACTATTCATGGGGACAAACATTTGGGGGAAAGACCACACTCTTTAGATAGAGTCTCTCAGGCCAGAAATACATATCAGTCCCAATTAAATGATGTTGCACAGCCTGACTACAGAAACAGCATTTAGAGAATGTAACAGTATTTCCAATGGCGTTGAAGGGGAAAATATGAGCCATGATGATGATAATGTCTTCATTCAAGATGAAGGTTGACACCAACCTTGAAAAGAACGAGGCATCCAGAGAAAGAATCTTTAGTCCCTATGAAAAATAGCCGTGAATCTCTTTGAAAGGCCCATCCTCCTGCTTGACAACCTGACACAATCTTTGCTTCAGAGTTTAGTAGATGCATCAGTCTTATCAGAAGTTGTTGAATAACTTTGTTAGTGAGGAAGAAGCTCTTGATAGATATGAAATTTATGAAGCCGGATGACACAAGCTGCTTATCAGACCCCTGGCAGAAGATTCAGAAATGACGGGAAACAGCAAGGACCCAGCTGAAGAGGAGCCCAAAAGAACTTGATCAAGGCTGACTAGGCAGTTGCCTTGAGAAGTTACAGCTAAGCTAGGGAGGGCTGAATAGTCATCAATTAGGGTTGGCTAATGGGCAGCGCACCCCAAGTGCCTGAACTGACCAGAAGGGGGCACTATGCACAGGACCCATCAACCTTTGCAAAAGGTCCCTGGGCACTCAAGTCTTAGGGGGGGCTCAGGTGCTGAGCCCAGGGCTTCTCCGGGGGGGTTGTGCTGCCTTCTAATTGGCCACTGCAGTTTTGCCTAGTCTTCTTTCTTTATGGCTTCTGATTGTCATTTGTCTGGCAAAAGAGAAACTGACAGAATCAAAAGCACAGATACCCATTCTGAATTTTTCTGCTTTTGAGTCTCCTACAGATCCAGACCTACCAAAGCCAGAGGAAGACTTACCGTAGGTGCTAAAATGCAAACGGGCATCAATAGTACATTCCAGAGATATATAATTGCCACTAAATATATATTCATGTCAAGGAGTCTAAAATCCCAGCTCTTCCCAAACTTGTCCTGCAAATGTTGAAGGTTCGAAGCAAGTTTCTGTTGGATTTCTGGGGGGAAATCTAATTCTCACAGACTTTTCCACATCTTAGAATATAGTTTATTTCTGGCTTCTGGATGTCATGTATCTAAGTCAGTGGTCTCCAACCTTGGCCACTTTAAGACTTGTGGACTTCAACTCCCAGAGTTCCTCAGCCAGCAAAGCTGGCTGAGGAACTCTGGGAGTTGAAGTCCACAAGTCTTAAAGTGGCCAAGGTTGGAGACCACTGATCTAAGTGACATGTAAGGTCCTCCTAGTCCATGGGTCCCTGATTCTAGAAATTGGCTAAATAAATACACATGTAAACACTTTGCACATTTTCTTAGGTCAAACTCTGGCAGGTAAAAAATGGAAAAGCTTCCGTTCTTTTCTTTAGAAGTTTACATGTTGAAGCTTCAATATAATTTTGAGTTCACCCACCATGAAGAATAATTAAATGCCTTGAAAAGAGAGCAGTATAATTCCCCAAGAGGAATCCTCTCAACTACGGTGCTTTGTAGAAGAAGTTAGACTTCCTGGCATAACCTTATAGATATCACAGAAGTCACTGGATAATTTGGAATGCAATTAACAAATAAGTCAATCTGCAAACTCTGGGAAGAATTCCCAGAACATGAAAACTTTTTTATTATTATGGAAGTGAGATGGGTGGTACCTAAATTTGATAAATGAAAACATAAAAATAGGCTACAGTGGAAAAAGGCAAAGTAGGAAAGTCCTTGCTTGCACATAAGAGACTATTTGGACTGGAAACAGTTCATCCACGGAACAAGAATCCAAGAATTCTAGTTAACAGGAGGAGAGATTAGTCATCAAGTACTTTAAATCTGATATTGATTAACAATGTGTTTGGAAGAAGTAATATTGGACATAAATACGCCAAGATTTCTATAGGTTTTTTCCCTTAGTAGCCATGTTTTCATTTTGAAGTTATCCAAACCACAGGATTCACCTGCCTGCCTCCAGTTCTTGGTGCAACGTAAGAGTTCTCCAGCATCCTCTGCCCCCATGTGTAGCTCTATTCTGCCTCAGAGAGGTACGACTTTGGGCAAATTGAGGTTTAGCAATTGATGTACTTCCTGCTGGTTATAAAAAAATATTCACCAGTTGTCCTCCCTAATGTGAACAGGAGTAGGTGGTTTTTGACAAGTTGAGCCACCTCTCAAACCATGAACTACAGATTGGATGTGGTTTTCTGTCTCTCCTGCTTTATTGGGAAGTGGATCAGCTCTCATGTCTGATAGCTGATCCACAGGGTGGGTTTTGGACTTCCTGGTGTAGTAGAAGAGACTCTCCTTTTTTAGTTTACGAGGAAATCCATCCCATTCCGTCACTAATTTATTGACCCAATGAACTGACTTTATCTTCGATAGATCACTCTTGTCACTTCCTCATCTTTCCTGTTCTAACCCTGATACCACATCTGTCTTTTCTTCTCTTGCTCTTTCTTTTGCTCTCTCACTCGCATTGCTTGTCTTTCTCTTTTTTGCCTGCCAATCCTTGTGTTTTTCCCTGCAGTTGCTCATTCCACTCTATCTAACGGAAGGAGAGTCTCTGGTTTTTTTTTACACATGATAAAGTTTCCCATGGGACCACTCGATCTATACAGGTCAGGAACCATGCCTAACTGGCATTATTTCTAGCTAAGATGGCCACTGAGGGGGAATCAATGGGTGGGGGGGAGAGAACTGTGCCTGCAGCAGTGGGGAAAATGGGAAACAGGCGTTGGCAAAACCCAGCACCTGCCCTCATTATCGCACCAGAGAAAATGGAAAATTTCACTTGAACACTGGATCAGAGAAATAC